TTTTATTTTTGATAGCTTTTGCAAGAGATCGATTGAGAATATATACTACCGTGTTTACAGCTTCAGCCCAATAAAGATTTGGAGTTCCTTTGCCTTTTAGCATGCTTCTTGCCATTTCAACAATGGTGCAATTCTTTTTCTTAGCTACTTCATTTTGTTGTGGAGTTCTGCTAACTGTCAGCTATCGTTGAATGCCATTATCTTTGCAATATTCAATGAAGGGATTGTAAGGAAATTCTCCTCCACGATCGGTCCTTAACACTAATATTAGAAATTCACTTTGTCTTTCTGCAAGTGCTTTAAACTGGAGAAAAGTAGAGAATGCCTCAAATTTTTTATTGAGAAAGAAAATCCACATCATCCTTGTGTAATAATCAACAAAGAGAATGAAATATCTCTTGTTTCCGGAGTGGGAGTTTGTATTGGTCCACAAATATCTGAATGGATAAGCTCCAATGGCATTTTTGCTTGCCATGAAGTTTTAGGAAATGGAAGCTTATGCATTTTTCCATATACACAGCCTTCACACACTTTGTCTATTATTTGAATTTTAGGAAGCTCGATCACCATATTTTTCTCCTTAAGCAACTGAAGTCCTTTGCCATTTAAATGACCATATTGCAAATGCCATAGATGTGACAAATTTGCATTTTCAACTTTAAGTGCACAATTGTTGTTTAGTGGTAATATGAGATAAAATGTTTTGTTTTTCATTTCAACATTTGCCACTATGGCATTTTTCTTTTTATCAAAGATCTTGCATCTTTTATCATCAAAGTGCATAGAAAAATTATTTTGTAAGAGTTGTCCAATACTTAAGAAATTATATGAAAGATTTGGCACATAAAGAACATCAATAATAAGTTCTCTGTTACCTCCCTAAGTTTGGATTGCAATGATACCTTTTCATTCTGTGCTTCTTTGTGTTCCATCTCCAAGAATAATTTGTGAGGTGATATCTGAATTGATCTTTACAAAGATATCTTTATTTCCTGTCATGTGATTGCTAGCACCGTTATCCAAATACCATTGATTCTTGGATTCAAAATCACCATTTTGATGAGAATAAAATAGAATTTCATCTTCACTCTCTTTTAAAATTTTTGCCGCATCTTCTTTTTTCTCCTTATTTTGAAACCAACAATCCTTTTGAGAATGATTAGGAACTTTGTATTTAAAATAGCAATCTTTTGATTCATGATTGTTCTTTTTGCAAATAATGCAAGATTGAGCCTTATCGAATTGTTGTGGTGCCTTGGCTTTTCAATTGCTTTGCTTTTCATTTTTGACTCCACTTGCTAAGCTTTCCCTTTTTTGTTGTTTGAACCTCCATGATTGCTTGAACTTATTTTTGACGCTTTCTTTGATTGGAAAGCTTGTTTGGTTGGTTGACTAGCCGAACAATTGATTTTTTGCTCATGTGCAAAGAGTGATCCGGTCAATTCGTACATGGTCATCTTAGACAAATCCTTTGATTCTTCAATTGTGGTGGCTACATGATCAAATTTTAAAGGAAGACATCGAAGCACTTTCTCAACAATTTTTTTGTTTTTAATTGTATCTCCACAACTTTTGATTTGGTTTACAATCTCCGAAACTCTTGAAGAGAAATCGCGAACGGATTCTCGTTCTTCCATTTTGAGATTGTCAAAATCTTTCCATAAAGAAGTTTCAAGGTGATAGTTTTCTCCGAACCTTGAAATTTTTGATTTAAGATTTTCCATGCATCTTTGGCTTTAACACCAAATATACAAGGAAAAATTGATTTTTCAACTCTTTGTTGAATATATCGCAACGCCATTACATCTTTCTTTTTATATTCCTTTTATAACTTTGGATCTTCTTCATCTCCTTCGGTTGAATCTTTTGCCACCTCATCATCTTCAATGACATCCCATAAATATAAAGAGATGAAGAAAGTTTGCATTTGACTACTCCAATATTCATAGTGCTCACCTTCAAAGATTGGTACTTGACTTTGAAAATAAGTGAACAAGGAGGCTGCTGAATTTGTTGCCATAGCTGCCGCTATAGTGGTTTTTGGGGTTGATTTTGTTTCAACTTTTGGTTGGATTTGGTTTATGTATTTTGCCTAAGGTCTGATACCAAAATTTGTTGGGTGTAGAAGGAAATAGATAAGAGAAATATGAAACTTTTCTTATGAAATTTGAGGAATTACAAAGGAGTTGCTACAACACACACTTTCTCTAATTTTTTGATAGATTTTTCTCACTTCTTCTACATACATAACACTAGATGGATACCTTTCTATTTATAGTGAACATTGAGTAAACTAGTCCTAAGAATTTACTACAATTACAACAAGATAAAAGCTGTTTTTTCTTCATCACGTGCAGCTGGAAAATATGTATTTGCAGCTGTGTTTGACTGATCGGATGGCTGCTGTCTGATGTTTAATTTTCAAATTCCAACTTGCAAGGTTGAACATTGATGTTGAGTATACAACTTGAATTGAAAATCTTATCCATTTGATCATTCAATGAATGAAACCTTTGTTGGTTGAAGTGTTCAATTTGGATTTGAACTCTTTGAAGATAGATTAAAAATTAATCTTTTAACAGGTGCTTCTTAGAGAAATAAAATTGTAGTGGTGGTTCCCTGATCCCTTTTTTTTTGGTACTCATGGTGTGCTTTGGATGGATCAAATCACCCATCTAAACAGAGTATAGGACATATTTTATTCATTGACCTATTTTTGTATGATTTGTTATTTAGGACATCATTGCCATTGCTAGAGTTGATTCAAATGTTGTAGTCTTTGATAGACCTTCAGGGCAGATTTTATCTACTCTTAGTAGTGATTCAAAGAAGGTATATTTACTGTTCTTTTTCTTGTGCATATTGATAACCATCATTATTTTTCTTCCTTAGATTATTTTGTTTCTGCTTTCTGATTGAATGCATGTTGAATGTTTTTTCTCATATACAGGTTATGAGTGTCAAATTTGTGGCTACGAATGGCAATGGGTGGGTTTGGGGGAGCATTTTCCCACACCGTTGCCCGTTTAAGGAAAAGCAGGGTGGGGCGGGTGTGGTTGCCCCGTTTACGTATCCGTTTAATTTTTTTTTATATAGGTTTTGATAATTCATTTTAATGCCTCCATTCATTTAAGTGAGACAATAATATAATTATAAAAATTTTTAATTAATTTTTAAAAGTTAAAATTTTCGAATATGGTAAACTAAGGTTTCTATTGTTTATTGTATTACTTAGATAATCTTAATTGCCATCTTCTATTAGAACTAATGAAATTTCGTAAAATTTTTATATTTAGGGCCTCTTTGAGTCCCATTATTTTCTAATAATGCATTTTAAAATAGATTAATAGAGTATGTGTGGTTAAAAAATAAAAAAAAATTAGATTTACATGTAATATTAATTTATTAAAGTGTGGTTGAAAAGAAGATAGAGAAAATGTATTTTAAAAAGAATGAGAATCAAACAAGGGCTTATAGTATTGAATTCTTAGTATAAAAGAAAATAATAAATAAATAAATTAATTAAATATGGGCAGGACGAGGCCCCTGTTACCGTACTCCACCCGATTAAGTGGGTAATAAGGGGTGGGGGCCGCGGGTATCGGGTTTGGCGGGTATTTTTGCCATCCCTATTTGTGGCTGAGGGTGAATTAGTTGTTACCGGCTCAGTTGATAAGGTAAATTTAATGCTCACGGCAATAATAATTTTGCATATTTTTCCATTTTTCTCATGATAATTGTATTTGCATATTTGTCATTCACGCTTTTCACTTCATATTACTTTGCTTGGGCTTTCTTATTTTGTTGAAAAAAGGGGCTGCTCTACCATACCTTATAGTTATGATTAAGTACTCAATGCAAGGGCTAGGGAAGCATTTTGGTTGGCACTTGAGATGGAATTAATGGCTTGAATATTTAGATTGTTTATTGTTGGGTGGTATTGGCCTCTTTCACCCCAAAAGCTAGTTTAAGAGGTAAAGCTTTCCTTCACATTTATAAATTGAATACTAATCTCATCCACAACCGATGTGGAACAACCTCAACAATCTCCCTCTCACATATCGGGCTTTGCGGGACATATCCAGCCCTGCGGGAGACCAAACCCGTCTCTCCCATACATAAACCCGTATCTTCGTGACTGTTGGGCCGGAGACTAGTTGATAAACCGGGTTCTGATACCAGTATTGGGTGGTATTGGGCCTCTTTCACTCTAAAAGTTAGCTCAAGAGGTGAGACTTTCCCTCACACTTATAAATTGAATACTAATCCCATCCACAATCGATGTGGGACAATCTCAACATTTCTAATTGAAACTCTCATTACTTTCCTTTACATTCTTTTGACTTAGATGTATAAATACACATAATTAGCATGAAATATCTATTTCCTCATCCAATTAAGCAATTGATTATAGATTTGGAAAATTTTCTGTTGTCTGTAATTAAGAATTGCGATGAACTTATAAACCTCCGAATTTCACCTGGGGGATTCTTCATTCAGGACGAAAAATACTAGTCAATTGTGCAACATGACTAAAATCACGTGATTAAGTTTGATTCAATCAGAAGGGTGACTAAGCTCAAATCAGAATTAGAACGAATCTTACTATTCGTTAATATTCAATGTTCACAATTCACTAGATTCACGAGGAGTGCAGATTATCTTGTACCAAATTCTTTTTGTAGCCTTACTATTTTTATTTGTTGAGATGAAGTAAATTACATTGAAGATCCATCACTTCAAATGCTTTATTCTTTTTATTCTTATAGGGTATCATGATGGAACTATATGTCGATTCAGCCATGTAAATAGGTCTTCCAACTGTTATTTAATGATTCTTGGTTTGAAGTGAACAATGTTTCATGTAGCTGAATCTTATTTATTGGAATAATTCTTAGTTTGTTATTGTAGATTGGATGCCCTGAATGTAGATTGGATGCCCTGAATGCTGCTGCAAAAGGGGAGCTACATTTGAGACATAGTGACATCTAAATGTAGGTGGATTAGGTCTCAGTTTGCTTCTAAGAAGAAAATTACCCTGTCCCATATTCTGAGGGGTCTGTACAGATGGGAGCTTTTCAAAAACTGAAATGTGTTGGCAATTCAAGTTGCACTATATTCTTTCATGTTTTGGGACTGATTTAAACAACATGACATGTACTCAGATCTTTGATGCAACATCTGTCAACAAGTATATATGAGGACTAAGTTAGATTGGAGAAAAAAGACGGAAAAGCATGATTCTTAGCAAAAACGATTCAACCTACCAAAAAGGGGAAAAAAATAAAAATAAAATCAATATTAGTTAATTTTTCGTTGCACTTTATGATTGCTATTCTCTGTATCTGAATGTGTGTAGCATGAACATCTCTAGATATCTCCAGTTTTGAACCATCTTTTCTAAGAGCTTAAACTTTTAGAGAGGGGGCATTTTCAGTTTTCCTTTCTCATTTTATTTTATTTTTTATTTTTTCAATATTTTTGTTAACATGTCCCTCACGTGCAAGCCAATTCACTTTTTGTCAAAGGGATGACATGTGCACAATTTTCATAATTGGGTGGGATTGAGACGTGAGCTCATGACCTTGCTTGCTATGATACAATGTTGAAATAGGATTAGATTACACTGGGCTGCTTTCAATTAGATTGACTCATGTTAGTTTCCATCATTTTCTACAGATATGCAGCCATTTGGGTGCTTGACATACTGTAAAGTCCAGTAATTTTTCACATAAACCCATTATACAAAAATACTCACCTTTAGTGAAGTAATTAAGAGGGGGAACCGATTGAAAGAAATAGCGAGTGTTAGGAAGACCTGGCAAGGAGTAATCTTTTCACGAGAAGGAATTGGTTTCAATATGTATCTTGCTTGTTCCTTGTTGCCTTTGTTCTATTTGGTTCTCTCGTTTATACAGTTGTGCTTAGTTCTTATTTTTGATGCTGTGACTCAGGTTTCTTTTCCTTTGTCCTCTTGCTGAATTGACGGGAAATTTGAGATCACATTTTGTCTTCAACAAGTTAGAACATTTTTATAAGCATACTTAGATTATGGCTAATCTTTTTGTTCAAATTTGTTCATTTATCTCACCTAATTCAAGTCTAAAATAGTTGTTAATCGTTACAGGTGCAAGCTGTTACAATCCATACCACCAATTACTACTGCATGACAGCTTCTCTTGATAACACATGGTGCTTCTATGAAATTGCTTCTGGTTTATGTCTCGCTCAGGTCTTAGCTCTCCCTATTCTTACATGCGCCTGTGTACTAACTCAAATGTTTATCTCGTTATAGCTCTGTTACTTCTGGTTTTAAGTTATTTTCCAGGTTGAAGAGACTTCGGGATCTTCTGAAGGCTATACATCTGCATCTTTTCACACCCGATGGTCTCATCCTTGGAACCAGTACCTTTGGGTCTGTACTTCTCATGATCAGATTGAACTTTCCTTCTGTTTCTTTCTATTTCCTAAGTAGTTTGATTTTACATTTTTTTCATGTGTAGGCAAATGCTGCTAGAATTGAGGGGCATGTTGGGGCAGTAACTGCAATTTCATTTTCAGAGAATGGTTACTTCCTAGCTGTAGGTTTTATTCTACAATTAACAAAAACTACTTGGCTGAAGATGATAAATTCCATTGTCTGATTGTTTTCCAATTTTTCCAGACTGCAGCTCAAGATGGTGTTAAGCTTTAGGATCTACGCAAATTGAAGAACTTTAGGACTTTTACTCGTTATGATGAAAATACACCAACACAATCTGGTGGTTTTACCTTTTTCATGTCTAGCATATACTTATGTTTAGCTCTGTCTAGACTGTGGTTGTGAGTGCAAAACTTCTAGAATGTGGTCTCCTGCTCATGATTGTCAGCAGTATTTGTAAGCCATTGCTCGGGACATACCCAACAGCCATCTAATACTTTACGTAACAGGTCAAGAGCATGTCTTTGATGTTATTCTAGTTTCGAATAGACAATGCAATATTTTCTATCTTTCGCTGGTGGTTGAATTCTCACATTTAACCATGCTTTAAATTTATAGGGGAATGCTCCCTCTACCAGTGTTTGACGAATAATCTGAACCCCTTAAATTGAATCTAATATAAGGGTCTCAATCTATTATACTAAAATCCTTAAAAAATTATATCCCCACATTCAAACTCACCATAATTACCTTTTAGAAATCACCAATTACCATCTAGAGAACCTTTTTTTCCAAGTTGGTGTTTGCCTAGGTCTTCACCATTAGGTAGAAGAGCGATTTCATCGAAATTAAAAAAATAGACAAGCATAACTCATTCCTTCATGAAATTAGAGTCTTTTGCATGTACTTTTGCTTGAAGAGAAATTGAGCGGCTCGGGAACATATTGGGACAAGTACCGTTGGGTTTTTTGATACCCAATAATCCGGGCGATGATTTAAAACAGTTGTCGGATTATTTATCGACACTATGGACTTGGCTCGACTCGGAGATGAACTACACTTTTGGATGGTTCGGGTTTGAGTTGGATGATTATTTGGTTAGTTGGACCATTTAGTGATTAATATGGAGTTGAATATTGACCCATTATTTTAGGTTAATTGGTAGCCCTCTTAGTGAACCTAGGCCCAATTGGAGTGACCTAAACTAACCTATATATATGTATTTATCTACTGGCCATTTTTGGTGGTGTGTGTGTTGTAAAAATGGAGAGGAGAGTTGAGAGAAGAGAGGCAACCGAGAGAGAGGGAAGCCATGTGAGGTTGTGAGTAAGATTCAACCACTGTTCTTCTTCCTCTCCATACCTTTGTGGATTGCTAACACCACCACCCTCTCCTTTGTGGGGTTAGAGAGAAAATGAGCAGTCCAAAGTGAAGGTGAAAGTCTCGGGTCGAGCCAAGGTAAACTGGTGTTCGTTTGATTGTTTTTTGAGCCCGAAATCAAGATTTATCGAGGGATTTCCGCTACAAATGGTATCAGAGCTTGTGTTATTGATAAATCTGTGATTTTTGGGGCTAAAAACGGGCTGGAAATGGTCAGAAACGGATCTGAAAATCAGATGCAGAAACTGTTCGATTTTTTTCAATTTTCTGCTGGATCTGTTTTGGCGTTTTCTGGTGAAACCAAAAGGAGTTTGACAAAACGGACACCACCGGTGGATTGTGCAGGCGGAGAAGAAGCCGGAAGGGTGACAGGTCGTCGGCACGTGGCTGGTCGGCGCGGAGCGTGGGGAGACGGTGATGGCGCGTGAGGGCGCGTCCGTCTGATTTCGGCGAAGTGGTCTTCAGATAGTATCTTCCCCATGACGAGATGGATCCTGCAGTGTTTTCAGATTTCAGTTTGGAGCAATATAGTGAAAGTTGGACGATTTTGCCCTTGGACGTTTGGGTGCTGTTTTCGTGTTGCTGGTGACTTTAGGATGAAGAGTGATAGTCCTAAAGTGGTGAATTTGCGCCTCTCGATATTTACGGATCTTCAGACGTGGTCCGCTCGGTATCGTGTTCTTTGCTTTTTATTATTGCAGTTAAAATAAATGTGTAGGTTAATTATTTGTTTTTTGCAATAGAGGTCATCGTGTGGGGTGACATTAGGTTTAGGGTTACCATGAAGGGGTAACCATTGGCTATTGCTAGACCTAGAAATTATTTATTAATTATTTGCCTTAAATTCTTTGTGAATTTGCTGTCAATTTTTCTACATTATTAGAATTGCATGTGGCCTTAGGAAAGTTGATTGGACTATTTTATGTGAATTATGTTCATACTTTACCTGTGATCATTATTTGGCATTGGTGGCAAATGTAGGTCTAATGTAAGTGCGAAAAATAACATATCTTTTAACTGTGGTAAAATTTGGACATAGTTGAAAGAGATTGTCCTAAGATGATAATAAAAAGAAAGATGAGGATAGAGACAAGGCGAATGTGGCTTTAGGTTCGAGTAGTGATCCTAGTGAGGTTTATTGAGAGAATAAACCTGGTTCTTGCATTGCATCTGTATGTAATCCTTTCTGCATGTATGTGGTCACTTAATTCTGTTGCAATGTTGATGTTACACTTTCAATATGTTTGATGTGTGTAATTGCATGAGTTAGAGTGACTTATTACTTTGTATAATATATTTACATGCATAGTGGGTTAAGTTTTGTGGCGTACTCTATTTGCTCTGTGAGTGGCGTGAGAGTGTGGTAGTGAGAAGAAAGTTGGGTAACCGTTTCTCTCCTTTATCTTTGTGAGCCTATGTGGTTTGTGAGATTATGTGAGGCAGCCATGTTAGGGTTACCTTCTTTATCTTTGTGAGCCTCCTTTGTGAGTGTTGTGAAGTAACTTACTTTTTCTTCGATTCTCTTTGAGAGTGCCACCTCCACTATTTTCTTTGTGAATTTTTTGGGAACATTGGTGAGTGGATTAACTTTCGTGGTCACCGAAAGGTGTTGTTTTGCTATAGTGAGTTTGAGATGCATTAGCAGTGAGTTGGATGTCTTTTGGTAAGGTGGAGTATAGATGCCTAGAGGTGCATTGGTGATATGCACAAGGGATGTAGAGTGTGACATTTGGATCACGAGTGGAGATGTGATTAAATGTGTAGAATCCTTTATCTGTGAAAGAGACTCTGTATAGGTGGAGTGTGAGAGAAGCACTTCTATCACTTCTGTAAGGTGGAGTCCCATTATCCACGTAGGTTGAGAGAAGTAATGTGGTGATAGAGGATTATCCTGAAAGTTTAGGATCTATTGTGACTTACCAGTTAGACATGAGTTAAGTGATTGGTTTAGTGAGCATGGTGGGCGATGAGATGAGATATGTGTTCTCGAGGTGGGAGTAATACGGAATGGGATATGAGAAGTGTAGTGAGATCTTTTATGGAGTCATTTATGCATTTATTGTATATGTGTTTGACCGTGTGCTGATTAACGAGGTGTTAATTTGTGGTTCTGTGTGAACGTGATTTTAAAAAGATCTGTATGTGTGTTATCCTATATATATCTTCATTGCATGATTGTTTGTTCAATGTGAATACTTGTTTCTACTTGGGTGTTCTTGACCTTAACCCTAGTGAGTACATGGAGTAAGTATGGTATGTATTTCAAGTTAGGAACACGAAATAAGGTCTGTTATTCCAATTTTATTAGATTACCTTGATTGTGTAAGTATAAACTGTGTGTTTTTGTTGCTTGCAGATAATTGGGCATCAGGTGGAGATTGTTGAGTTTTTTGATACCCAATAATTCGGGCGATGATTTAAAACAGTTGTCGGATTATTTATCGACACCATGGATTTGGTTCGACTCGGAGATGAATTACACTTTTGGATGGTTCGGGTTCGGGTTTGGGTTGGATGGTTATTTGGTTAGTTGGACTATTTAGTGATTAATATGAAGTTGAATATTGACCCATTAGTTTAGGCTAATTGATAGCCCTCTTAGTGAACCCTAGGCCCAATTGGAGTGACCTAAACTAACATATATATATGTAATTATTTACTAGCCATTTTTGGTGGTGTGTGTGTTGTAACAATGGAGAGGAGAGTTGAGAGAAGAGAGGCAACCGAGAGAGAGGGAAGCCATGTGAGGTTGTGAGTAAAATTCAACCATTGTTCTTCTTCCTCTCCATACCTTTATGGATTGCTAACACCACCACCCTTCTTCTTTGTGGGGTTAGAGAGAAAAAGAGCTGTCCAAAGTGAAGGTGAAAGTCTCGGGTCGAGCCAAGGTAAACCGGTATTCGTTTGATTGTTTTCTGAGCCCGAAATCAAGATTTATCGAGGGATTTCTTCTACAAGTATCTTAGATGGAAATCTATCAGATTGTGGCTTCATGTACCATACATTTCTACATCGCTGCATCCAATATTTTTGTTTTGACAATGTGATGGAGGAGAGATTGTCTATTATTTATTTATTTATTTATTTTAAACGAATTATGGTTCATCTCTTTTAAAACGAATTACAGTTGAATTTGACCATAGTGGAAGTTACCTTGATCTTGGAGGCTTAGATATATGGTAATATTTCAAATAAAACTAAAGTCCTGGTTTAGTCATGGATAGAAGGATATCACTATCATTGTCCATTATTTCTATTTCTCGTCCCATCTTTGAATATCCCATGAACTTGGAATTATATATGGTCTCGCCATACTCATGATGATTGCTAGTCATTTTATTCACTGTATGCATATCAGCCTTTGTTTCGATCTTAAAAGCTAATGTCTATGTGTTGTTGTATGACAGAGTTTATCAAGTTGCCAATGTTTAGTCTGAATGGAACTACTTGTCAGGCACAGGTTAGATCCTCTCGTTCTGTACCAATGACTTCTTTCACCTCACAGAGTTAGCATTTTACACAATCGCATGTTTGGCAAGAATAGTTAGACAACACTGAATAGTATTAAGAATGTCTTGTCGACTATATTCTCCGGTATGGTCTAATATTACGACCCTGTATGCTGTGGTTTTTTTTTTGTGCTATGGTGCAAGAACTTGCTCAAAACTCTAGAGGTTATAATCACCCTCATGAATGCAGGTAAAGCAACATGTGTAAAGTTTGGTCTAGATGCAAACTATATAGCTGTGTGATCTATGGATAGAAACTTCAGAATATTTGGGCTACCCCTGGTCGGGGAAGATGGTTCATCAGAGTCGTAAAGCAATTTTAATTGTACTTCTGGCAGCACTGAGTCTTGTAGCTATCCCTGCAGTTGCTGCAATTTCTGTGGGGCTGAAGTAGTTAAAGTTGAAAGGAGAACTCACTTTGAGATCAATTCATGTACAGTAGAGAAGCACTGCCAACTTGGGCTGGCATTCTTATGCTAATTTTCCTTTTTGTTTGCAAATTTGAATGCTGGGTTTCGATTTGTATGATTTAAACATATTTTTCCTTTCTGAGACGTACTGGAATTGTTATTCGTTCTATGTAAAAAATTGTAATGTACCATCGACATTGAACAACTCATGGATAATCAGAAAGAATTATGCAAACGACTTGGGAGCATATGGTACATTACGTCCTCTCTGGTCTTTTACGTCCTCAATATAGGTACACATACAATTTCAAACTAATAGCAAAATTTGAAAAACTTCAACTTATATTACATTAGAACACGTCAAGGAAAATCGAATACACTAGATCAATACGGTAATTGCTACAAAACCACAAAATAATCTAAAAACTTAGCCTTTAAATTCGAAAGCATTCTACTGCCTCCAGAATTCCAAATCCTGTTGTTCATGTACGTTCCTGGATCTTAACAGACTAGGTATTATCTTCAAGGAAACAAATCTGTATCATCAAATGGTGCATCTTCTTCTGTTGTGCCCTATCCTACCACACAATCTGCACTTCATCTACCCCTTCTTAATAGTGGGGAGATTGAGAAGTAAAACTTATTGGTAATTTTATTCATCTTGGTCTTCACAAGGCATTGTAATGTAGAAACTAAAATAAACATGGGATATTAATATATTGTGCAAGATTAAATTTATCTGGTGGATTTTGCACTAAAATAGAAGGTTGAGAGAATATTTTCGCAAAACATATAAGCCCCCATTTGCTGCGTTGGAGAATGAAAATGAGATTCCTAATCGTTAGAGCACACTACTCGAAGTCAATTGTAAGAGACAATTCAAAAATGTCATGCCATGTGGGACCCTTCAACGGCTCTATTTCTTCTAAAATTGGTGGAAAAATGTGGCCAAACAGGAGCTAAATATTAGGAGTCTGTGCGGGAGTGGTTTTTTCCCCCAAAAAATTTGATTTTTTTACCGTTATTTCATTATTTTAGTCGTTATATTTGACTTCTTCATCCACAGGTGGACCCTACTTTTCTTCTAACGTTCAAAAAATCAATTCTCAAAATAACTCCCAAACAAACTCTAGGAGTGTTGCATCAATTATCCTTAATTGTTACTACATTAGGGACTGAGGGATTTACCCATTTATTTATATTTATTTATGAAAGGAAAATATATAAATGTCACTAGGAACAAGCACAAGTCAAAAAGTGCCCTCTGTTCTACGTAATTCTTCTCTCAAAAGCTCTCCAATGGCAGCAGCAGCAGCAGCTTCATCTTCTAACTCCGTTTCAAATTCCGTGTCTTCCGTCACTCCTCCTCCTCCTCCTCCTCTACCCAAACAAGAACAACAGGTGTGGTTGCGTTTCTTCATCTTCCTATGCACAAACATATGGGCGGCATTTAAGCTTTTATTTTTTATTAATCATTACTTTGGGCATCTGCGTTCCTAAATTTTTGAATTTCGAAGGGTATTTCGAGTGTAAATAAGGTTTCTGATGAGCAAAACAAAGGATCCATCAAAGACCCATTTGAGTGAGTTTACCTGAAACCTACGTATGAATATATGCTTCTTCTGTGCATAATGAATTGATCGAATTTATGTTAAATCGATGTTTATAAGCACTTTTCTGTGGTGTGCATGCACGCACCTTCACTTTTGGTTTTAACTGTATTACATAATAATAGAATTCACAATTTTTTTTTCCTTTTTTAAAAAAAAATTATGCCTTTTAATGGATTTAGATGTTGAAGGAGGACTTCCAGCTTAAAATATCATGATCATTTTTGCGATTAGTTTTCCACACGGGGAATAAGGTTGTTAATGCTGAGAGCTGTCTATTATAGAAATGGAGATAAAAAGTGGGAACAATGAACTGAATGATCCATATTGATTGGTGACTTTAATCCAAGAAATGGGTAAATGACCAAATGTTCTCAAGGGACGATGGAAAAATGTCTTAAATATTCACTGAAAATTTATATCAATGTGGTTAGATTTAACTTGATACATGCCATGTATCTGGTACAGTGCTCTTATAACTCATTATATTACCTCTGATTAACTCTTTTTTTTTTTTTCTTTTTTCTTTTTTGGCAACACTATGGTTAATTATGGAATCTTGTAATATCAGCTTATTGATTGTTCGCATACTAATTAGATAAAATAGTAAACACTGGATGGTTTCTATTTTTTAACCGGCTTGCGATATTTGAATGCAAGTGATTTTCTGGGATCATAAGTAATTTACTTAAATGGTCATATAATTGCTTTGGGGGTGTTTTTCATTGTCATTATTTGTAAAGAGAAAGATTGTTTTAAGTAATTCACTCAAATGGTCACTTAGTTTTCGTTCTGGGATTGTAAAGAACAAATGAGGTGCCATGGATTTCTGAATTAGATTGTTTAATTATGATGACAGAAGTAATCCAGGCTTAAAACAAGTACCTGGTTATGCTTCACAATGTTTCAATGTCTCCCAAACTAAACAATTTCGACATAGACTAGGAACAAAATCTGAACTGCTTCTCTCTGTTGTTTGAAAATTGAAAGACTACTTGAAGTACATTTTTCTCTGGAGCACAAACTTTTCAAAACCACCTTTGAACTTGTTTTCGTTTCGAATTCTCCTTTATAAGCTTCTCGTGATAGCATTTATCGAGAGAGAGAGAGAGATCAATGAATAGCACAGTAGATAACGCTGGTCACCAAGAAACATTAGTTTTGAAGGCAAGTCGTTACACTGTGTGAGCTGTTTCCTTATTCTTTCTTTTTTATACATCCCACTATTATGTGGGTGTATGGTCTTAGTTATAGTTCCCATACTGGACGTTCTTGATATATACATAAGTAATATAAAATATTAGGATTTGAGGATGAGATTTGTAAGTTCTAATGTTCTCAGTTCTTCCTCAATTTAGTCGTTTCATGTGCAATCAAAATCTGTCTTAGCTATTTACAGTGAGAAAAATAGGAATACAAAAATGTGCCACTGCATCTGTAATTATTGAAAATAAGGCATAACAGATATTACTGAATTGGAATCCTTAGTCCTAGATCTACACAAATGAATTTTCTCTGCTGGCCACACAAAGGACTCAAAGTTGTAATTTGATAGGCATCAGGCAATAATTTGATGGGCTTTCTGTTTCCTCCAGCGTTTTCAGGATGAGAGTTGAATTACCATGGTTATGATTGGGTAATTGGTTTAGATAAATCCTTCTTGGTTTGGATATTACTGGTACGGTAGATGCTATCACATACAAGCATGCTCAATACGATGGAATTGTTCTATATATATTTGTTTTATCAGCTACTGGCCAGGTCAGAATTTTAGTTGAGGCATTACCATCCACTCTTGGGTAAAAACTGTACCTTTGTTGCTTCAAGAAGATGAGGACATTTGCAAATTTTATAACATATATCTGTATCTCATGCCTTTATCATATTCACACAAATGTTGATATGTAAATTGAAAAGACGATTCAAATTCATGTTATTCTAGATAATCGTACAAATGACTGTACTTAAGATTTTGTAGGATGTGTAATCGTAAAATAAAGGATCAAGGATTAATCATTTAACTTAACTCTTTTCATGAAGAACTAGGGAACATAAGACAATGTTCTGGCTAGTCCAAGGCCTGTTCAATTTCTTGCTATTTTGTACTACATATCTATCAAGGCTAAAAGCCTCGATGCAATTAATTTTTACAACAGAAAATAAACAGATTTTTGTACTGGTGAGGAAATCCAAAATTTTATTGTTTACCAACCAAATAATAATGTTCATTTTCTCTTAGGGAGCTCATTTTGTTGCTGCAGAATTTCATGTTGTAGCCATTTCATTGTAAATCTTTGTGTCTCCTGTATCTTTCTTTTTATGAGTTGGCTGGTGTAACATATTTAGTTCATGCCTCTTCACTCAATTCTTATGTGGAATTATTTAGTTTTTCTCGTCTTGTTTGTTTAGGGATATTGATAACAAGGAACAAATTGATAAATTTCAAAAGTACGAGGCTGATTATAAACGTTACCTGATGTCAAAATACTTCTCAGACAAAACTATTTTTGGAGGTAAATTACTTTCCTTGCATGTACAAAGCATCAGATTTGTTCAGAAGTCGGAAAATGTGGAGTGAACTGTTACCATCTACCAATTCTATATAAAACTTGTTGGGGTTAGAAGTAAGGTTATATTTACCCAGGAGTAATGCAGGCGCGTCTAGAGATTATATTATAATCTTCACATGAGCCCCTCCCCCAGACACACATTGAGGAGAATGAAGTCTTATCCATAATTTTCCTTTTCCTTTTCCTTGTATTATGGGAAATTTGTGGAACTCAATTGCAATCTGCACCCTGTATGTGTTCCCTTATTAGCACATTACAGGCCAACATCTATTCTCAAATCCCATATTAACTAGCCTGAGAAATTGTTTATACGTATCAAAAAAGTTATGTTGTATGTACTATTATTTGTTGTTTTTCCCAAACCATTGTTAACCCCAATCATAATGATTGCTGGAAATCTCGAGCTAGTGTGTTCTACATGGTTTTTTGCATTATGGGGAAATTTATTTGCCATTCTTGCAGGCAATATATTTGATGTGAAGATGAATATAGATGGCCAGACCATAACAGCAAGCAGGTACAAAGGCGTCTTAACATTTTCTGAAAATTATGTTATTGTTTTACAAACGCTGTTACTTGTACATAATGGTTTGCATACAAATGAATTGTCAAAAAGAGATTGAGGAAGGTTTCTTCTTCTTCTCTCTATCTCTCTCTTCCCTTTTTTTTTTTTTTTGAAATTCTGAACCAATCATGTTCCACCACATCTTGTATATGTAAACTATTATGTACATATAGCAAACCTGTGGGAAAACTGTTCTCAAACAGGGCCATGTGGCCCTATTTATGTAGCGGGTTGTGCTATGGGTACATTATGGACACATGGCGAGGGGCGCCATGTGTGCATAATGTACACCAAGAATTACTCTTATGTACCACCTCTCCATTTTATATGCCTTGCAACAGCTAAGTTGGTCACTTGCTTTCCAGGTTGCCTCCGTACCAGTCCTACTTAGATCCAGCAAGTTTTGATGAATTGAACGACAAAGGTCCGACTACAGCAACAGCTGAGACCCCAACAGATAGCACTTCAAATGGGAAGCCCTCAACAAACACAAGTGGGAACTCCTAGATGTGCGTGCTTGAATCCATTTTGAGTCGTATGTGAAAATGAATAGCGAATAGTGAAGACTAACATGTTTATCTGGACTCCTACGTCTATTTTTGAATTTATGACCGTTGCATGTACTAGTGGGTTATCCTTTCTGTTATGCTGCTAAGCATCATGTTTCTGATATATGTGGTGTTTGAATGTACAATTTTATTTAGGCTTCTGCGGAGATTTTAATATATGCATGGTGCTGGATTGAAGAGCTAGAAAGTGCCCAATGGTACATATTGCGATCATTTTAACGTCTGTAATGATTTTTTGGTAGACGCAAATGAAGAAGTTGGTTAAAAACAATGTTTAGTCTCAAAAACTTCGGGGCTATTCTCTCTGTGTTTGAGTTTTTAGTTTTGAGTTTTGGATTTGTTTTGAGTTTTGTGCCTTGAGTGTCCGTTCTGAATTTGTTGAAAATGTGTTCTTTTTGTCATTCTAAAAAAATGTTTCTTAAAACATCAAAATGGTCCGTTTTGAATTTGTTGAAAATGTGTTTTTTTTGTCATTCTAAAAAAATGTTTCTTAAAACATCAAAATGGAAAACGTGTTTACTTGTAAATTTTGAGAATCACCACTGCTAACCAAACCACCACCACAACACCACTACCACCGCAGCAACCACAACCAGTCACCACCGCCAATACAACCACCACTGCCATTGCCAATCAACACAAGCAGTCAATACAACCAATCCAATGCCAAGTGAAATCAATATGACCACATACAACCAATCCAATGCCAAGTGAAATCAATATGACCACCACTGCCAATCCAAATCACCACCACCAGTCACTGAACTGCACTGGTCTTTGTCACCAAACAGCACCTGATCAAATAAAGCAAAAAACCCCCCAAACCAGCAAATTGAAAAAAGCAAAACACCACCATCAACCAAAACCATAATCGATTGCCGGTACCAAAACCATCAACACCATTGCCAAAATCATTTTCGTCGACTGTCGATACCACCATCAACCAAAATCGCCACCACTAAAAGTAGAGATGCTGTGTTCACAGCCGTCGAAAAAATACAAAAACCCCCCAAAACGCCAGTCGAAGAGAGAAGATGGAGATGGGCCCAAACCACAAGTAGCGATGCTTTGAAGATGAAGACGCCGGCGTCGACAAGAGCGAAGGAAGAGACGTCGGAACGAATGGAGAAGGAAGAATGAAGAGAGACGGGTAGACAGGCTTCAACTTTTTGCCTCTTATTTCCGCGTTTTGAACGTTTTAATTGTTTTGTGAAGAAAACAGTCAAAATGAAGATTTTGCCATTTTCCATTTTCTTTACAATTTTTTTTTTGTTTTCGAAAACTCGTTTCTGAAAATGGAAAAGAGAACAAGTTTTCACCATTTTAGAAAATCGAAAATAGAAAACGACCTGAAAACGGCAAAGAGAACATACCCTTCATTTTTGTTTCCTTTCAGGAACTTTATATACCAAATTAATGAAAAATAAGCCTTGCTTAACATTTCCCTACCATCATGCGAGTGTCATGTGATTATTTAACATGCTGATAAAAAAATTTATTAGTTGGGGACTCGTGTGCTACATTTATGAAAGGTTGGGGAACCTTACTAGAATTTATCATTGTTTTTATTACAAAAATTCATTTTACTTTACAAATGCACCTTTTTGAGCAACTAAAAAAATAAAAGAAAAAAATTGAATACTTAAGTCTACTTCTGTGACAGAAGTATGCAAATTATTATTATTATTATTATTATTATTATTATTATTATTATTATTTCACACGATCATAACTTGAATGAAAATGTGCTAAAAGAATAATGGTTCCCTGCCTTAGCAATGTAAATCTAAATATGAATATAACATGTACAGAACAAATTATCCTGAAAAATGCAGGCACTACTACAATTTTCACTTAAGAATAAAAATATAAAAGGTTTGGATAATCAATGATTTAGGAAGGTAAAAGAACAAAAATTAATGTGAATTCTTGCTTCAATTAAGGTATTGAGAAACATGCGTGAAACCCCACAGCTGCAGAGAAAAGAAAATGAGTAAAAATAAGGTCAGAACCGCCACAAGTTATATGAACAGCAGAACTGAAATTAGAAAGAAACTAAAGGGTGTTCCAAACATGCTCTAAAAGTTCGATTTTTACTGTTGACCATTTTTTATTTCCATTTTTCCTTCATGAAGTTTTCAAATATTGCAATACAAGTCTGGATATATTTTCTGCCCTATAAAACTCTTTAAACACGAGGGAATCAAGAGTCTGAGATACATGTTATTAGTAGAGTCACAACACAGCCGCATGCGGACAGAGGGAAGGGTAGATTGAAGCTTGCTGGTGCAACAACTCTATAAATCATGCATGTTTGGCTAACCTTGAAAGTCTTTACATACCAAAAAATTACATTTTTGGATTAGAAAACGCAAACAAAGAATAACTTCTAAAAAAGCTCAAACATGTTTCGAAAAAGAAATATAATGTAGCTTTTATGCTTTAAGAAACACGACCAACCCTCAAAGTGAACTGTACAAAAAACTAGAGATCAAGAACTATATTTTATTGATGTATCCCAAGGTAGATTGAAGGGGTAGATTGAAGCTTGCTGGTGCAACAACTTTAAAGTCGAGCATGTTTGGCTAAGCTTGAAAGCCTTTACTTCTCAAAAAATAAAACTTTAGGACTAAAAAATGCAAACAATTTGTTTGAGCCCCATTTTTCAATAATACATTTTTCTCCAAACTCATTTTCAACCATTTATTCCAAAAAATCATTATTCCCAAATCTATTTTTACCAAATAATGAAGCTCAAGTAAGGACGATAACTTCTAAAAAAGCTCAAATATGTTTGGCAAAAGAAATACATTAATGTAACTTTTATGCTTAAGAAACACAACCAACCCTCAAATTGAACAGTGCAAAAATCTAGCGTTCAAGATCTATATTGTATTGATGTTTTCTAAAGTAGATAATCAGAAGTCTATCTTAATGAGAAAGATGAAAGGGCGTTTAGGAAAACAATCATTACCTCAACATTCTTTAATTCAAACTCTTGATCATGAGCCAAACACAAGTTCCCAAATGTTTCGCACGGACCGCTGGTTCCAGATAACCTTCATAGAATAACAAGTAATGAGGTCAGAAGATCTACACTCTTACAGATACCATTAATGACATAGAAAATTTCAAAGTGTGCTTGATAAAGAACTTACAGATCTTCATTCAAGCGTAAAGCAAAGTTTGCACCCCCTCCAAGTGCAATCAAGTCATTCAAGCACAAGTAAAAATATCTGTTGGCACCTATTCAAGTAAAGAATGAATGTATTAGCATATTTCTAGATTTCGACCTCGAACAGTTCAGTAAGGCACTGTTTCTCTCCTATATGTTATACCAACATTCTCAATACGAGTAATGCTATTTGTACATTATTGTGTACAAATTGATGTACAGATCGATGGTGTCCATTATATTAAGCCCCCGTTGGTGTCCATTTAATATGATTTTAGGAGAAAATATATTTTGGAATAGTGATTTTTTGGAGAATGTGTGGTTTAAAGATAAAGAAAAGTTTTGAGTTTACATGTAATATTATATTATTAAAAAATGTGATTGAAAATAAGGAAAAGAAAAATGTATATTTTGGATAATGGAGCCCAAACAAGGGCTATCTGACTTCCTTATCTATCCTTCCTTTTCCCCCTCTTTTTTCATGTCATCTTGTACACAATAATGTACAAATAGCATTACTCTCTCAATACAGGCGCGGCACACACAATCCCTGCAGTGCTGATAGAAACACGTCTATGTTTAGGATATGTCCACACGTACAGGGCTTATTGACCCTGTGAATATTTCCCCGTAGATGTAGTGCAGTCCATATGTTTGGCATGTATGTGTGTGAGAGAGAGAGAGAGATAGATAAAAAAAAAATAAAAAAAATGCATGCTCTACATAAATACTGATTTAGAATGCTTGATAGGATCATCATATAAAGAGAGGCACTACACTGATCCAGCAATTGCATCAAACATAATCAGAAACAAGATTCATAAGTTGGCGTGCAAATTAATTTCAGTTAATGAAAACTCTGGTTTCAAAATTAATAACAAAATACCGTAACAAATATAAGAAATTCATATCGGTTTTACAACAATAACCTAATTGTAGTATTTAATCTAAGCTATTGGCAGCCAATTGACTTAGTTTGAAAAGGAAAAAAGAACATAGTTCTCTTTATCTTATTTTTTTAAATTAAAAAAAAAAGGCAATGATAATTCGCTGGTATTGTGGTACATAAGTCTCACCAGTAGGTCTAAAAAGCCTCGGTTCACCATATATGGTCGTGAATACAAAGGTTTGATTCGTTCCCTGTCAACATTAGTTGGTGGAAGAGTTCGACAATAAGTTATGAATAGACATAGTAACAATGTGAAAGAGCAGAAGATTCCATGATTTTATATTAATTTATTCCGAAATCTCTTCAAGTAGATGAAGAATATAACATACTTGATATTTTCTCTTTGCAGTAGGCTTTAGGGGGCATTCAAGTAACCCACCAAATACAGCACCTTGCTTATCACCAGTAATCTGCATGCAAAAGAAGGCTCGGTTTACAGAAGAAATACACAGGTCAATTATTAGAGTTGGGTTTGATCATAATATAAATGCAAAATTGCACCACGGTCCCCAACCCATTGCCCTAGATGCAAGTTGATCCACAAACTTTCTTATAGTTGCACAACAAGTCCCCAATGATGGAACCGTCCAAATCCCTGTTAGATTGTACATGGTCCTCAAATATCTAACTTTATGAAGCTAGATTTTCCTTCCCAACTTGGGCCGGTTCATCAAAATCATGAGGACCACATTGGACGATTTTTAAGAGGATTTTGAAAGTTTTCTTTATTGGGAAAGATTGTGCTCTACATTGAAAGGGTGGGACCAACTTGCTCCCAAGACAATTGGTTATTAACTGGTGGAGTAATATTACCTAAAATAAATGCAAACATACCAAAAGACAAGGACCAGAGAGATCGGCGCTCTTACGAATGAGAGTTCGAAGTGATATACCATGTCTTACGGTACTGCCTTTCATTCAACATATACCAATCATGAAGCAAAATTCAATTGCTGAAACATAAAAGTAACAGCGGATTAAGCAAACATTTTAGTTGATGTACCTGTATATCAAGACCCATTGACAACCTTTTACTATATTAGGAAGGGATGAATCGAAAAACTCATACAAATCTGGAGAAATGAAAAGGGATTCAACAGTGAGGTTGGGCATGGTCTTCTCAAAACTATATGAATCAGCAGCATCTTCAAATACATCAGTGCTGCTACAAGTGCTCCTCCTGGAGCCAGGTTCTCCATTTTCCACGCAAGGACTTGACTCATTATTCTGACTTAGGCCCCTGACGGAGACATGTTCTCCAAATTCCTGACAAGGGTACTCAATATCACATTTTGAGTATCTATCCATGGGTTTATCTTTACACAAAAAACTTCTACTTCTCCATTTAAAAGAATGAGATTCAAGCGATTTGACCTCATTATTGCGGTTGTTTGATCTAAACCAATCAAGACCAGCTGATGGCAGAATGAAGGATAATATAGACTTTCCCTCATTAGTATACGGCCTGGCCTATGCATACAGAGGTTTAGTGTTACGAAAGGCATTCCAGCACAGTAAAAACAGTAATGGAAGTATCAGCAACATATATCACAATCAGTACTAGAACTAAAGTAGCCAACTTCATTTGCATTAGAACACTCCCATGACATGAAAAAATATATTGAGTTATTTATACAACCATAAAATGTGACCTCTCTCTCTCTCTCTGTGTGTGTGTGTGGGATACTGGTGAACTTTTTGTGGGTTATGTTCTATAATAAATGATATAGAAAATGCCATTAGATAAACTTACAACACTTCTTCTCTGAATATTTTTTCATTGCAAATAGAATATATAGACACTTCATCATTGAATAACTCAAATATTCAGAAACACGTCTTTTTTATTCAATAAAAAATATGGAAGCCGAAGAAAAACTAAGCATTTTTTGAAGATAGAGGTGAAAGCAACCATAGAAACTTTTATCAGGCTTTAAAAATAGCCCTCATTTTCTGAAAATGATAGGAATAATCGTTTTCCTTCCTCTTGCAATGATGAGGGCAAAATCACTTTCAGTAAACAATTCAGCTTCAAAAACACATCAATCAAACCAAAATTTTAAAAATTAAAAATTAAAAATTAAAATACAACATAAGTTATTCCTTCATTATCCCCTAGAGGAGTTAATATTCAAAAACTTCTAACTATCAACTGTATGTTTCATTTTACCAATCCATTAACTAAAATCAAATGAAACTTAGATTAATTTTACATAATATCACAAGCCTAAACAGTTACTTCTAACAATAGCATATGGAAACCTAATGTTATAAAAGATAATCCTTAAAGCAGCACAATGGAAACTATAACTAAAAATCAGAAACACATGAAACTAAAATAAGTTTTTGTATTTTCTGCTTGCTACTTGAGTGAGCTAATTGCATATTGCGAAAACCTATATTGCCGTATCACTAAACTAGTGAGCTACTCAAGTTGGTCTACCAAACTTAAATGTGGAACATCATATTCTGCTTTTTTTCCCCAGTGAGAAAAATAATTTTTTTTTTCCATGATTTTTTTTTTTTTTACTGAACACTGGAGCAGACACAAATATACAGTGCATGGAATCTATTCTTATTGTCCAAAATAAGAATAAATACATCAACTATATCTCTATATGATTCAATTTCAGAAATATTTTGCTTGTTTAAAGAAACAAGACAGAAGATCTCCATCCATGCTAGATAAAAAGTTATTATTGGGAAGGAATGAATAATTTATTTCTCATCCCAAAAAAATAAAAAATAAAAAATAAAAAATGAAGAAGTAAATAATAAAAAATTCACCTTCAAAACCACAAATCCCCTACGAATAAAAGTAAATCAGAAACGAGAGTGAACACCATGACCAGACTTAGCTCTGTTCACAGTAGAATGAACATCAAATGGAGCAGAAAGCAAGCCGAACTTTTTCCTCTAGGCTCTAGCAACAAAGGTCTACATTCTATCTTGAGGGTTCAAAATTCAGAATGTTTAAAATACTATTTGGTATCCACATATCAAATCTCTTAACTGAAATATAACTAAATTTAGACAGAGTAGATTAACATCAAAGGCTTAATTTTTCATGAAATAGCAACTTATAAAAGCCTAGCATTACAAAAGACCATTCATAAAAGGCACAAGGAGGCTAAAAACTAATAATTGTAAACAGGTATCACTATAAATTACAAAGATAGAGTAAAGGTCCATAGTTCCTGTTCACTACTTGAAGGATGTTGCTAAATACTGCATTACTAAACTAGTCAGCGGGTGGAAACTCATATAAAACATTATTGTATTATCAAACTAGGGAGATCCTCCTCTAGACCTGACAAAATTAAAAGTGTCACCCTCTCTTGTGGAGTTGGGACAGAATAATTCCTTTTTTCTCAGCATTATTGGTAAATTTAGAAGCAATGCTATTACGTAACTCTGTCAAATAACAATTTCTTGCAAACTTAACACTATAAGGAAATACATATTCTTTTCTTTTAACAAGATCAACTTGAACTCTTCCAGTGCAGAAGATAGAAAACCTACATCGGTTCCCCCCCCCCCCCCCCCGC